GTGCACTCATGCCTGCAATGCCCCTGGAGATTAGAAGAAAGTGTTGGATACCCTGGAATTGGAGTTAAAGATGGTTGTTAGCCACCATGTAGGTGCTGGGAACCACGCCTGGGTCCTCTGCAAGAACAGCCAGTGCTCTTAACTGCTGAGCCATCTTTCCAGTCCCCAAATCTTTATTTTTAAAAAGATTTTATTTTTATTTTTAATTAGGTGTGTGTCTGAGTGTGGATTTGTGCACATGCATGCAGTGCTGTCAGAGGCCAAAAGGGGGCATCAGATTTCCTGGAGCTGGTATATGTAACATTTAGTTTCTGATTTTTATAATCTGCATCCTCCCCACCCCTAAATCGACGTGGCTAGAGATATCTCTCATTGATTTTTGCCCCTCCAAAACCCCACTTAGAATATTTTATCCACTTGGTAGGTTTTTTTTTAAAACAGAGATTAAGTTGGTATTGTCACTCTATTACAGCTGTAAAAGTGTCAAGGTGATCTTTTTAGATTATGTACAACTCCAATGGCTTCCTCAACTCACAGGGCATTGCAAAAGCTGGCTTCAGCCTGTTTGCTTTGTAGTTACAATAGCTTTTTAGTTCACTGAAAACTTAATGTGAAATTTTTCGAAGGATCTCAATGAAATACTGATAACCTTGCCTAGAACAATTTTCCATACTTATTCCAATATTAAGCTTAAATTATATCCTTAAACCAGCCTCCCCTATGATATGATTACACATTATCAGTTCTGGAACCTAGTCTTCTTAAAAAAAATGTGTATGTATGTGCACATGTGCATCTAGGCCCTCATGCCACGGTTCATGTGTGCAGGTCAGAGGACAACTCTGTAGAGTCTGTTCTCTCCCTCCACCTTTATATGGGTTCCAGGGATCAAACTCAGATCCCCAGGCTTACACACAAGCACCTTTAGCTGCTAAGCCACCTTGCCAACCATAGAATCTGTTTCATGGGAACCATCACAATTCACAGCTGTATGTTCACATGTTTAAGATTATATTTTTGTTTCTGAATGTATATGGCTCAGACTCAAAGGCACAATGCCCAATGCTTAGGGTTAGGCACTAGGATGCTTGAGTAGAGATGCTTCGTTTACCAAGGGTGTGGAACTTTTTCTCAACTCCTCTCTAATATACAAGATAATATGAACTTACATTGCAGAGTACTTTAACCTGGTTAATTCCTTTGGAATTCTCATAAACAGATGAAGACAGCTTCAGCTTCATAAATCTTCCCCTAAATGAATTCTACTTCTTACAATCTCTTTTCTGTCCAACTGTTTCCTCTTTTATCAAAAATTTCCAAGACTGACTTGTAAACATTTACTTGAACCAAAGTCTCAAGGTTGAGGAAAATCTATAATGAAAGTAAATCCTTCATAGAAACTGTGAGCAAGAATCAACTTCAGTGAGGAGGAACTGTTGTTTCTGTATTGCCTTAAAGATCACTAGAAAAATGTTCCTATTTTTCAGCAGATTTGTAAACACTTTTGGAATACAAACCTTCTAGAAAATGAGATATAATCTTTCTATAGCACATAGCTGTTTTAATTCTTAAAAAAAAATTTTTTTGTCTTTTTGAGACAGAGTCTCTCTGTAGCCCCAGTTGGTCTGGAATTTACCATGTAGACCAGGCCTGCCTCTGTCTCCCGAGTGCTGGGACTAAAGGCGTGCGCCACCACACCTGGCACTAAGAAAAAATTTTTAATTCTTTTTAAAAAAAATTTCATTATTTTTATGTGTATGAGTGTATCGCCTGCTTGTGTGTAAGTGTACCCATGTTGTGCAATGCCCATGGAGGTCAGAAGAGGGTGTCGGATCCCCTGAAACTGGAGTTACAGACAGTTGTTAGCTGCCATGTAGATGCTGGGACTCGAACCTGGGTCCTCTGGAAGAACAGTCCATGCTCTTAACCACTGAGCCATCTCTCCATCTCTTAATGTTTAATTCTTAACATAAACATTTCTCTATTCCAAATTTTATCTAACATTTTTTTCCCCCTTTGATACAGGATTTTACTATGCTGCCCAGACTGGCCTTGAACTCCTGGGCTTAAGTAACCCTCCTGCTTCAGCCTCCCTAACAGCTGGGAGTACAGCCATGTACTACTACATCTCACTAATGTTATTTCTAAGATTAAAAATAATTTAGTTCTTAAAAATTCTTCAACAAATTTAATTTTTTGGTACATCCTGATAGCTTATTTCCAGTTAAAAAATTAACTGTCAAATTAGTATGTCCTGAAATTATTGAGAAAAACTACATGCACTTCAACCTGGCTTATTATTCTTCTAAAGACATTACGGGATCATTTATTTCTTCTTCAGAAGTAGTATAAATTAGAAAATAGCCAATACAAAAGTGAGAATAAAACTCTTAGGAATAAAAGCAAGACCCACATGGCTATGAGCTTTAAATGACTTTGTGTTAAAAAAGGATGCATTAGAAGGTAAGTGGCTTAAAATCAGTATGGCTCTTTTGACTCATTTCAAATAAATAACTCAACATAAATACCATCTAAATTACTAGTACGGAAGTTCAATGGGGTTGAACACTAAAGTTCAAAATATTGCTTACAGATGATTCCATTTTATAATGGATTTCCCAGTTTTCAAGAGCTGGTATTTGTATGAGTTAGAGATCCATCCACCTCTGCCTCTTCCTCAGGTGTGCTGGGATTAAAGGCATGCATCACCATTCCTGGCTGGGAAGTGCTTTTCTTGTGGCTGTGACAGAATCAACCTGAGGATTTTGGCCCACTGTTTGAGGAGGGTACAGATCACCATGACAGGGAAGGCATGTCAGTGGGCACGGCTCATAGTTGTAATGGCAGAAGCATGAGATGGCTAGTCATATGGCACTGGCAGTCAGGAAGCATAGAGCTTTGGTGAGAACTCTGCTGGGCTATAAGCCTCAGCCTCACCCCTACAGACCCATGTGCAAGTGTTTCCATACCCGTCCCCCAAACAGTGCATCCTCTGGGTATCAACCATTCAGACATGAGTGCCTATGGTGGACACTTCCCACTCAAGCCATAATAGCACCAAATAAGTAACACTAGTATACTCAGAACCCTAATTTTAGGAGCCATGCGTGGTGGCCCAGGCCTGTAACCTCAGAATTTGGGAGGTGGGAACAAGAGGATTAGGAGTTCAAGGCCGCTTGAGACTTTGCCTCAAAAACAAAACAAAACAAAAACAAAAAAACCAAACAAATTAAAAAAGCAGAACAAAAAGAAAAGGGGAAGAAAAAAATCTTAACTTTGTAGTCTAATCCATTCATTTTCTCAATATTTCTAAATGTCTCATATCTAGGTATACATATGTACATACATATATAATTGAATAGGGAAAAGCACAACTTTTGGTGTCTAAAAACAAACAGCAATAATCCTTTAGCTAGACATAGTGGCACACACCTATAATCACAGAACTAGCAGAGTTGACACGGGAAGATTTTGAGTTCAAGGACAGCTGGGGCTACATAGTGAGACTGTGTTTCAAAAAGCAGAATACTGAGGTAATAACTTTTTCTGGAAAAAACTCTGCAAAGCATTTATAAACTGAAATTTTATATACCCTTGTAAATCAAGTTAGTATGTTTTAAGAACATTTACAACTATGTACTCCTAAGAAAAACAATGTAATCAATCTTAGAATGATTTTGAATTCTGATGCAATTAACTTACAGGAATTAACTTACAGGTTAAGCTAAATGTATAGCTTTAATCTTATACCACATCTATTTGTGACTGTTATGCCTCTGACTCAGAACAATATGTGCGTGCGTGCGTGCGTGCATGTGTGTGTGTGTGTGTGTGTGTGTGTTAGATGTGACGGTGAAGACAGTGAAAACAATGACCTTGGAAAAAAAGTCTCCCCCACAGATGTTGGCAGCAACATGGGGACACAGGTTGATGACATGTGTCTGTGGCTTTGTTCACTGTTCTGTGTCAGAAAAACAACTTTCTTTGTCATCAACAGTTTTGTTACTTTTTTACTTTCTCCTACCACGCCTGATATGCTGTTCAATATCAAGCAGATATTAAGGGGCAGATTCTGTGAGCTCCAGGCCACCTTGGTCTGAGTAGCCTTGCCTCATTAAAAAAACACAAAACACAAAAATCAATAAATATGAGAGCCCTTTGTTAGAATAGACTAGAAAGTTCTGAGAAAACAGCTGGGAGGAACCGAACACCTCAGAAGAAGATGGGGACCACTCTTGGTAAAAAAAAAAAAAAAAAAAAAAAAAAAAAAAAAAAAGAGTAAGGTTTCTTATTAATGCATAACTGTCACAAATACAAACCCCCCCCCCCAAATTAATAGAAATTTGGGGGTAGGTGAAATTGCTCAGAAGGTAAAAAGCCCTTGTCACAAAAGCCTGAGGACCTGAGTTCATTTTCTGGAACTTACAGTGGAAGGGGAGAACCGACTTCCAGTTGTCCTCTGCCCTCCACATATGCACCGTAGCATGCACGTACTTGGGCACAGATACACATAAATAAAAATGTTTTAAAATGAAACAGATTTCAGGGCTGGAGAGATGGCTCAGTTAAGAGCATACACTGCTCTTGAGAGGATCCAACTTTGGTTCCCAGCACCCGTATCAGGTGGCTCACAAAGCCTGTAACTTCAGTTCTAGGGGGATCTGATGCCTCTGGCCTCGTGGCACCTGCAGGCCCATGTACATGCTCACATGCACCCACACCTAGTTAAAAAATAAAAAGTTAGGTGTGGAGGCACATGCCTTTAATCTCAGTGCCAGGGAGGCAGAGGCAGAAGCGGGGACAGATTCTGTGAGCTCCAGGCCACCGTGGTCTGAGTAGCCTTGCCTCATTAAAAAAAACAAAACACAAAAATCAAACAACAACAAAATACTCCAATAATAATAAATCTAAAACAAAACAACAGAAACCAGATTTAAAAGAATGTTTGAAATGGAAACTTTTCATCTACACCCCCCACACAAAAGAACAGAACAAGCACAAAATGTTATAAAACATTTATTCTGCAATACTTTATCATAATGAATTGCATATCTTTGGTAAAAATAAACTTTATAAACATTTTAATTATCAGATTAGATACAAAAACTAAACATTTGCAAGTGTTTTTGAATACGAGCAAAGAATGGCAACTGAGAAGTGGCTCACTTGTGACTGGTCATCTCTTGGCAGTTAAACTCAGGACAACTTTTTACACTACATCAGAATTTAACAATTTTCTTGAATCAGAAAGTATTCTGATTTTGTTTAAAAATAAATAATAGTTACAATGAATTGGCAATTATACATTTTATACACTATATGATGGCAACATAATACTTTAAGCACTTAGTTTAATAAAAAAAGTCAACAATTTTCAAAAACAAGTTTTGACAATGGCACTGGCAGTTAGATGCAAAGAATGCACTTCAAGAAAAAAATGGCAGGTGTAACATTAAAATACCCTATTTGCCTTTCAATAAATATCTGACTACATCATTAACATATTGAAGTAAACTTTAAATCAAAGCTTACACATTTCAAAATAAGAAAAAAACTATAAAGTATAAGTAAACCAGAAAGCCTCAAAGTCTCTTAAGGAAATGCTATAGGTTTCACAAAAGGGTGCTAAGTTATCATAGTATTTTAAGACAACAGTCTTTACAGCTTTGTGAAGTATTCACATCTGTTGCTTAAGTTGCTGGAAAGGCCTCCCGGTCTACAAAGACATATATTCCCTTAGCACTTGCTCTAGCTTTGAACTGTGCTAACGTGTAATAACTGACCATCTAGTAGGAACCCTTTACATAATGCCTCAGAAAATAGTGAAAGGGAAAAAAAATGTGCTCTAAACTTCAAGATATACAAAGGAATCCAAGTTAAGAGAAGGCATGCTGGCTACCAGAACAGGAAAGGCTCCTCGGTGGAAATAGGGTGACCCACCCCTAGTTAGTTTCTCTACTAATACAGGTAATGTTTTCGTTCTGAATTTGAAAAGTTAAGGATTAACTAATTTAGCAACATATTGCACAAATAAATGTCAAAGCTATATATTCTAGAAACACTGATTCTATTAGAGATGTGAAAGATAAACAGTGTTAAGATACAACTTTTACTAGGGATCCATTAAAATTGGAATCGGCTACAACAAAAGAATTTTGATGTAAGGCAAATCATAGCTTAGCTTAAGTCACAGTTTTAAAATATATTGAGACTTAGGTAACATCTCTGGATTTTCTAGTATGGTTATTACACAGTTTGTTCTTTGGGACTTGGAATGACTTTCCTTGGCTGGGTGGTTCTGAGCCATGTCTCTATGTCAGCACCTGAGCTACAGCAACATCTCCAAGGGTGTCATAAGGACCAAGATGAAAAGGTTTTCCCTTTGAGATGAATGCCTGGGCACAGCAGCAAATGGAAAGTGGCGCAATGAACTATGTGAGAATGTCATGAGCTTCTGTTAGCTTACAGCGCACAAGTGTGCACCATCTCTGCTAGTGACTGACGCTTTAATGTCTAGATTTGAGGGAAGAGTATACTGTTAAAAATATGCTTTTGTCTGGTGTTTTATTCTTTGCCTCAGTAGAGGTTAATTTTGTTTGCCTGTTTTCTGGAGAGGTTAACAATTGTGAGGAATAAAAAATTTTAAATACCTCATCCTTCATTATCAACCAAAGGCAATTTTGTATATTTTAGCAGCACCAATTCCATTAATGTGACTATCCAGATTCAGTTACAACATGGAAACAGGACAGAGTATTAATGCTGTTATTCCAAAAGTTCTGTAAACTAAGAAATATGTTTTTATTATTCTCATTTGACAGTTTTGCCCAACTTCTAAAATTTAAAAGTTAAAATAAAAAAAGTGTCTCCAAAAAACCCAAGATGCTTTATAGTCACAAAGACAGCTGAAAGTGGGAAATTAACCTGAGCCTGTGTATGTGTATATATGTATATAAATGGTTAAAAAAATGAAACATTTTCTAGGACATAGGCTAGATCATGAAATAGAATTAAACTTTGGGAAAGTTGCTCCCATTACTGTAAAAAATATAATGAATTACAGTATTAGTATCCCTGTTCTTTCTGAATAACATAGTGAAACTAAGCGATTTGAAAACTGACTTATATAAGCAGTTTTGTTCAAATACTTAAAATACTGTAGTCAATGCACTTTTGGAATAGGAATATAAAAATCTTTTAGAATAGAGTAATGGCACATATAGGTATTATATTGCCTTCTCAAAAAATTTGGGTAAGATCTAATTTTGTATGTGTTTTGAAATCCCTGAAGATATCTTATCTCTACAGTTTCATTAAATGTTCAGTGTACCTGTAATTTTAATCCAAACAAAGCTTGGGAAGTTTTGCCCTCAATGACCCACCTTTACTTATGATATCATAAGTCATCTTCAAAATATTTTAATACACTCTCAGTTTAGAAAACACATGTAATATTCTCTTTCTGTACAACTGTGTCAAAATGGGTATCATTCCCTGACACTCTGTGGCTATATCCTCTTACTGGACAATTTGTACTTTAACAAAGACAGCTAGCAGCTAAAACTTAAAACAATACTTGCAAAGTACTTTGGGAAAGGATAAAAGGCCCCAATGAATGCTATGCATCATCTGTGAAATAAAAACATTTCAAAGATACTATTGCAATAGGGATTAAGTCTTCTTGGATGAAATCACATCCCAAAATTGGCTTTCCTGAATCTTAGAACTCTGTTAGATTTGCTATGTAACGAAAAACCTTTGTAGACATCTAGGATCATTTCCTGTTTATATCTATGTTCATGCTGCAACAACTTAAAACAAGAACAAGACAAAAGATGGGACCTCTACCCTACTCCGCTGAGTGTCAGAAGAGCACAGTGCTAGTTACATCAGTGGCCAGTTAATTACAGACTGAAAAAAAGGGGAAAAGTTGAGTTACCAGTGCTTATATTTCAACAGATCAAAAAAGATTTTTCCTACAAGTTTAAGACAGAGCCTGGGGCTTTTCTTATACAAAAATGTCCAAATCTGGGAGACGCTTATCACAGAATTTATTCTTCTGGGGCCTTTTAATCACAGATTTATAATTAGGCATGATCCTAACAGCAACTGTTTAATTAAACAAAAAGAAAAAGCAACCAAAAATATTTAGAAAACAACTGGCACCCCTCCTCCATTCTAAACTAAAGAAGTCCATTATGGCTTTGATATCCCTTGTAAAGAAATAAGTAGAAGAGTATTGCCACACTTGAAATCATTTTACACTAATAAGGACTTCTACTTTTTCCAGTGTTTCTGACTTTGGGTCTTTGCAGTACTTATCAGGGACCCAAGGCAGGTGCGAATTCCAGCAAGATGGAGCAGAGACCCAGCTGCTTCTTTGAGCTCTTCATCAATTTCTTGACATGACTGTTTTCGCATCTTTTTGCCTGGCTGTCGTTTTGGAGAATTCTCTGCATGAGCTTGTGGTGCATAGCCACTATCTCCAAGAGGATCATCCTCATCTGTGTCGTCTTCGCTGTGAAAGCCCTCACTGCCGTCACTTCTGGCGTGGCTGCTCTTTGGGATGAACTCGTACACCTCATCCACAGAAGACAGGGAGGACACACTGGACCTGGACGCACAGCGCTGTGTCACCATGCTGCTGGCGCTGTAGTTGTGGTCTGCTTTAGGATCAATGCTGGAGGCTGAAGAATCACTCTCTGGTAACTGCACAGCACTGGGGCGGTTAAATGCATTGCCATAATTCCTCTTTTTCTGCAATGATGTTTTAAGAGGAAGAGGCTTCTCACCTGTGAAAAACACAACTTCTATCAACAGGTCAAACTGATCTGATTGCAAAAGACTGCTGAAAACTAGTGTGCCATTTTTGAGTATAAGAGCTTGAATTAGTAGTGTTTTGTAGGACTTTTTTCTCTTTTTTTCCCCAGACATTTATTCTGTAGGTATTAATCTGAAACATTTTTAACCATTTTAACCAAAAAATATCTTGGCCTTTCCATGGAACATGTAATTATTCTGAACTGTTGGCACAGAATGTCTCAGTGAGAATCTACCACTATTTATCCATTTCCTTCACTGATAGTCACTCATACAAATAATGCTGCAGTGAAATCCGTCAGGACGCCCTTTTCCTCACATTGCAAAGAATTTTCTAGGAGGGATACCAAGAAACAGAGCTGCAGAGTAAAAGGATATACATATTTTAAATTCTAAGTATTCTCAAATTGCCCTCTGAAATGGTTATATCAATTAACCAACAGTGTATTGACAAACCGTCTCCCACACTGTACTAGCCATCATTTACTTTGTTTTGTCATTTCCTAGACTAAACACGGTGTCTGAAAATGACATTTCTTCTTTTGAGACCCACTTAGTCCTATTTTTGCTGACTTTTCTGCTGACCTGTTTTTATTTTTTTCCTGTAGGATCCTGGTACATATACAGGTTTTATACTAACCTTTTTTCCCTATTATACATAGTTAAAAAGAATTTTCCCAGTATTCACTATTCCTTTTTTGTGTGGTTCTGGGGAATCAAACCCACCCAGGTTTCAAACATCCAAACATGCTAGACAAGCCTTTACCACTAAGGTGAGCCCTCAGGCCAATTTTTTTTTTTTTTAAGAGAGAGGTCTCATGTAGCCCTGTCTGGTGTCAAACTTGCTATATAGCCAAGGATGATCTTGAACTCCCCATTTTCCTGCCATTGCTCCCCAAAAGCTGATATCACAAGAGTGTGCCACCACATCCAGTGTATGCTATTTTATTTTTCTCAAAGATATCCTTTGTTGTCAGAACTCTAAAATTTTGAACTTTTAAGTTTGCCTATTATTTCCTTTATGGACTTTGCAATTTTATCTTAAAACTTTTCCTACTACAAATTATAAGTATCCCTTTAAAAAATTAAATTTATTTTGTATATGTGTGTGCAAGCACCAAGGCATGAATTTGGAACTGAAAGACAACTCATAGGAGTGAGTGCTCTTTGAGGATTGAACTCAGGCTGTCAAGTTTGGTGGCAAGTGCCTTTACCCACTGAGCCATCTCCTCAGCCCAAATTGTAAATATCTCTTCCCATATTTATAACTTTTATTTTTATTTTTAGTTCTTCAAGCCTTGTTTATTTTTTTGAGATCGGGTCTCTCTGTTGCCCCAGCTCTAGAATTCACTATGTAGACCAGGCTGGTCTTGATCTCACAGAGATTCACCTGTCTCTGTCTCCTCCCGAGTGCCAGGGTTAAAGGCATGTAACACCATGCCTGTCTTTCAAGCATTTTTATTTTATTTTATTTTATTTTATTTTTTGGTGTTTTTGAGACAGGGTCTCCCTGTAGCCCCAGCTGTCCTGGAACTCACTATGTAGACCAGGCTGGCCTTGAACTCACAAGTGCCTCTCAAGTGCTGGGATTAAAGGCGTGCGCCACCACGCCCAGCTTCAAGCACACTTTTTTAAAAGCAGTTCTCTGACTCTATTTCTTGGTCAATGTAAAAATCTCTCACAGCATTAAGTTTATTCTTTCAAGTGGTCATATAAATAGAAATATAGTAAAATAGAAACTAAGTAATTTAGATCAAAACAATTTAGCGGGAAAAAAATAATTTGCTGTGACATGTAATCATTCCGTATTCTAAATTATTAGTTTGAAAAGGCACCCATAAAATTTATTTTAAAAAGAAAAGCATGGTTGCTTACATTCTAAAATCTCTTGTTCTATGGAAGTATTTAAAAGTATCATTGCGGTGGCAGCATCAATATCAGATTCTGAAAAGGGAAGAGAGTGGCAAGCATTAGTTTCTTCACGACTTTTGTAGCATTTGCATGTACTAAAAACCAACCAGCAGTAAGACTTTGGTGTCCATTCTCCTAAAAACAACAAAGGCAGAAATACACGTTAAATAAAAATCAGAATTTATACATATTATTGTGATGATTCTGAGACAGAGTCTCATATAGCTGAAGATATCCTTGAAATTCAGATCCTCCTGCCTAATCCTTCTGGGTGCCAGGACTCCAGGAATGACCACCATGCCCAGTTTATGTGATGCCAGGGATCAGATCTACAGCTTCCTGCATACTGGGCAAGCACTCTGCCAATTGAGCAACATCTCAATATTATACATATTATTTTGCAATCTGTGTTACTTAAGATTATGGAACAATTTTGTCTTATTATGTAAAAGATAATGGAGATGAGCAATAATACAAGCTCCTTTCTTATAATAAAAATGAACACTTGAACTACATTTCAAAAGGTTTGTCCTTAAACTAAACTAGCAGAAAATGTATAGCAACACTGCTTCTTAGCATGTTTACAGTGGTTAACTGTCTTACAGTTATAGAATACAACATTAATTACATAGTAGTTGTAGGGATAAAGAAATATGTAATTGATCACTCTAGGTGATCTGAATTTATAAATACTAAATGAATTATTGTAGAAACAAAAATATTAGTAATGTTTTTAGTCATACATACAAGCCTACAAGCACTGTAGGTTTTTTGTGTTCATGTGTGTATACATGCTCATGTTTGTGCAGGTATGTGTGCAAATGTATGTGGAGGCCAGAGGACAACCTTAGGTGTCCTCAGGCACTGTCCACCTTTTTTGTTTGTTTTGGAGACAGGGTATCTCATTGGCCTGGAACTTGAGGCCTGTCCCAGGAATCTACCTGTCTCTATCTTCCCAAACTGGGATTACAAGTACCTGGCTTTTATCACATGGCTTCTGGAGATTGGGCTCAGGTCCTTGTAAGCAAAGTACTTTTTGACTGAGCTAACTCCCCAACCCTAGTACTATACATTTTGTTTGATGTTTAGTTTTTCGGTTTTTTTTTGTTTTTCTTGAGACAAGGCCTCACTATGTTGCCTTGGCCAGCCTCAAACTCATGACCCTCCACTTCTACCACTGGAGTTTAGGATTTAGGTGTGAACCATCAAATTGGGCTTATAGATTTGACATGTAAGCTGGGCATTCACACAGAGACATGTCTCAGATACAATGAGGAACCCCATCTCAAAACTGCATAAATAAGGCTGGTGAGACAGTTCAACAGGTGCAGTTGCTGAGAAGCCTGACAACCTGAGTCTGTTCCTGGGATTCCACATGGTAGAAAAGGAGAACCAATTTCCACAGGTTATCCTCTGACCTCCACACATGCTGTAGCAATGTACAAACACATAAGTTAATAAATGTAATAAAAATTTTAAAACCCCATAAATAAAACTTGGGACCAGATATAATTATAGACACCTGATCAGAATAAAATGGGCTTTAAATTTACTTGATTCACATTACTGTCTTTAACATCAAGCTCAAGTGTACCTCAACATGCTGGGAACTGTGGCACTTGCCTGTAATTCTAGCATTAAAAGGCAGAGGTAAGGGGATGAGTTCAGAGCCAGCCTGGGCTATATGAGAGAACCCTGTCTTTAAGAAACAAAACAAACCAAGATGAGAAAAACCAAGGGGCTCTCTAAAAAATGGGGGTGGAATTTGAACTTAGCAATTGGCCTCTGGAATGCAAGGATTATCCTTTAACATTTAGTGCGCATCCAGAATCACAGAGTAAAATGAAGGAAACAACCAGAATATCATGAAGACTCTCCATTCTCTTATTCTTTCGATAAGTTGAGTGTTCTACCATCAGTCTAACATCATTTCAGACAGGGTACAGCAGAAAACAGAGAAATCCCTAATCGCTCAGAATATAAAAAATTAAACCACAGCACAACAGAGTGACAAGCACGAGAAAAGAAAACCAGAAGGCAGTCTTGGGTCAAGAGCTCAGGAAGGTTGGGGAATCCCCGAGGGAAAGCATTTCAAGAAGAAAAGAAATTGCACAGGGTTTGATGCTGGGCGAAACAACTGTCTCCAATTCCTGTCTTTTACAGTGATATCTGAGACAATTAGGTAAGAGTTCAGCATGCTTTTAGAGCCAAACCAAACCAAACCAAACCAGCAGCTACTAGCCCTTTCCATCCTATCATGAAGTGGGAAAGGGCAAGCTGTTTCTCAGGTAAGCACTTCCTATTCATGGAGATCAACCAGAAGAGCGGTGTGTGGGCTGAATTCTAGACCCCACTTATGGCCCAGCCCAGTGTCCTGGTTCAAATCACAATTTAGCCACATGGGTGCTGAACACCAAACTCTAGTCCTATGCAAAAGCAGCAAGTGCTTTTAATTGCTGAGCATCTGTCCAGCTCTAAACATTCCACCTTATAACAATTTCTATTAAAAGTCAAGGGATTAAATTTCTGAAATATAATACCTAAAACTGCTGAGGCTAGGAAAGCTACATGAACACAATTTCTAGTTTCTGAATTTTTAAAAAGTGATAAAATCAGGTACTATTTGTATAATTGAATGATATAAAAAATATTCCCGGGACTTATTTCTTACAGAATTTATCTATATCATAAATTTATTATGGACAAAGAAACTTGAACTCTAGTAACATGAAATTAACTTTGTGAAACCAAACTTTTCTTTTTTTCCAGACAGGACCTGATGCAGCCCAGGATGGCACTGAAATATTTAAATTATTATTTTTATTTTATGTGTATGAAAGTATTGCATGCATGTATATAAATACACCTGTGTGATGCAAATATCCACATAGGTCAGAAGAGGGCATCAAATTCCCCTGGAACTGGAGTTACAGATGGTTGTTAGCTGCCATGTGGGAGCTGAGAATCAAACCTAGGTCCTCTGCAAGAGCAGCCAGTGCTTTTAACTGCTGAGCCATCTCTCCAGTCCCCTGCCTGAAAATCTTGATGCATTTGCCTCCACCTTCCCAGTGCTGGAATTATAGAGTGTAACATTATACCCAGCTGAAACCAAACATTTCTCTACGAAAGGATTTTACCTACATCTTATCTATTTAAAAATAGAAGTATGTGAGTCAGGCATGGTGGCAAATGGCACACTTGGGAGGCTGAGGCAGGAGAGTCAGGAGTTCAAGATTATCCTTTGCTAGATAGCAAGTTTCAAGCCAGGCAGGTGTACATGAAACCCTATTTCAACATTATGGCATTCAAGAACACAATTATCGATCATCTTCCCAAAGTCAAATCTTGAACTTCTTTTAATAAAAGCAGCAAAAATCCTCTTGGTAAAAAAATCTACAAACAATTTTTATTGATAATACAACCAGTTCTGGTATTAAACCGAACACTCATTTGTTTATTCTCAGAACTGAAAATACTTCACGATGTTATTTTCCACTGATAAAGTATTTACACTATTTTTAAAGACAGGTGTTTTTTTTTTAAAGCTGCAACACTATTAGTTATTATTATATCACATATCTAGTTCATTAGTAAACTATAATTTGGCACTCTAAATCACTTGTAATCAAAACATAATACTGTTACTACTAATCACATAACTGGTTCAAATTAGGATATATCAAAATGGTTGATTCCCTCCTAACGGTTTTTGAACCGTCGAATTCTACAACCCAAGCTAGCTTCAATTTTCAGTAATTCACGTGCTTTGGCCTTCCAACTATGGTATTACAAGCTTGAACCACCACACATGGTAAAACTGTTAATTTCTACCTCTTGGTTTATACTTAGCATTGATTCTGGGAAATTATTAGCAGCTGTGAAAAAAATAAAACAAAAACAACAAACTACTAAGATGCCAATTTTTGCTCAAAGTCAGAGTTAAGAAGCCTCTCCTCCATATGCTTGAAGAACGATACAAGAACTGTAGAGCCATTTTAATGGTTCTCAGCTTTGTAGTAACTACAAAAGGATTTACTGCCTCCATCAAAATGAGCACACGCATTTAAAGGCATCCAAATTTAAGCTGGACGGCAATTTCATTAAAACTACCAATATTTTAAGCTATCTGGTCCACTGGTTTACTTTTATTTTAATTTAAAAAATTATGTTAACATGCAACTGTAAATTTGAAATTAGACAGTTCAGTAGTACTTTTTTAAAGAGACTGATTTACTCCAAAGAAACCCACCTGAAATCAAAATCTTGACCCAAGGAAGTTTTGTTTTGCTACCTCAGTAGATTTAAAGGACTGGGGTCTCTTGCTACTTGTTGTACAATGCTGTAACACAGACACTGCAACATAAACTAGCAAAACTGTACCAGTTTTGGCTGAGCATGGCTTCTAAAGTTCCTAAAACTAACCTCTGCTATCTTACACATCTAACAACAGCTCTAACATAATGATTATAAAGACAGTTCTATGAAGTGACAGCTGAATGTAGAAGCTTTACACTAGAGCACAACAGAATATGTAAGTGATGTATAGAAAGCTCCTGATAACACCTCATTGCTTCAGCTCTTCAGCAGCTCCTTCAGTGCCTTATATGTGGTAGGAGCACAGGCTGTGAACTTCCAACTCTTGGATCTGAATCCCTGTATGCATTTACTAGTTGTGTGACCTTGAGAAAGTTACTTAATCTCTTCAAAGTTTACTCTCGGTGTCTGTTTTTTAAGTGTAATATCTCAAAGGTAAGGAATGAGATGTCCTCTCTTACACATTTAGGCTATAATTACACTCATTAATATGTCAGGTAAATTCCCAGCAATAACCAGACAACTTTCTGTAGTGCTAGGATTCTGCCAAGTAACTCCATGCCTTCAAGCATCAAGCCTGTACTCTTGACGGTTAAACAATCCTTGCAATTTCTGAGGCTCAGCAGTTTCTTTCTAAGAGGACTTTTTCTTCCTCCTTGATTTGGTACTCACTACGTTCTCCCTCTGCATATCTGAAAGTCAACTTCTTTCAATGAAACTGTATGTTTCCTTTCTTTCCTTTTTCTGCAGCGATGCTTGGGACCAAACCCAGGGTTAGGTTAGGTTCATGTGAGGCAAAATACTCCACTAATAGCGGTGGCTGGGCAAAACTGGCTGAAGCAAGTAGGAGAACCTTCCCCAAAAGAAGAAACCTAATTTGGAGGGAATGAAAACAAGATTGAGAAGAGATTCTAAGAATTCTCAGAACTCACAAAAAATGTCATCAAAGTTTATATGAACTGCGCTTGGGCATAAGACTCAGAAGTCTAGAAACTTTAAGAGGTAGGGCCAGCAAAGAAACAGAGTTCTCCAGACAGCTGGTCAGTTACTCATATGAACTCACAGCAATGATGACAGCATGGACAAGTCCTATGAAAGTTCAAATCAACAAAATCCCAGCAAAGACATGAGGAAGTAGGTAAGAAACCCCAACCCAACCTAAGGAAATTGTGTCAACTGCTGGGAGGGGCAGAGACAGCCCTGAAAGGCACGGATTCTTGGTAGGTTAATGAGGCTCCAGTGGATGGATGGACCCACACTGACGGACATTTGGAACACAAATTAGACTCTACAGGCCATATATAATAGAGTCCATTAAACTGAATGGAGGGCAATAGGGGAGGTGTGGATAGGGGAGGAAATTTAAATACTATCAAACTATATTGGATGAAAATTGAAAAAAATTCAATAAAAAGGCAAAAAAAAAAAAAGAAATTAAGTGCTATTTTCAAGGAAAAATACACATTGAAGTAATGAAAAAGGAACATAAAGATGTATAAATACTGAGTCTATTTGGAGAAAAGTGCTTGCATGCACATACATAGGCACATAATTCTATTATCCATGTGTGGATGCATGTGAGTGTACCCACTCATATATAACATGATGTAAGATCAAAGGAATTATACCAACATGTTGATAATAAAAGGTGACTTTTGCTTTCTCTTTTAGAAATTTATTTCCTAAATCTTCGAGAATACAATAAGAAAAAGGTAAAAATCCTGAATTTTCACTTAGGCTTTTATGATTAAACAGACTGATCTTTACACATACCTTTAAGGGTTTGCACTTGATTTTGCTTGAGAACAGAGCTTAAATAGTGAGGTGATAAAGAAACACTGAAAAATAAGGAAAAAAGACAGATGTGCTTATAAAAATCTTTATTTCATTTTTTTGTAGAACCCAGTCACACAATATGGCTAATTTGTATCATAAAAAATACAAACTAAATAATTTACCTTGATTTCTTTGTTACTAACACTCAGTTTAGGAAGAGTCTGCCCAAAGAAGAAAATGTATAAGGCCCAAGATTAAATCATAATTCTTTGGACATGGCTAGAAAAAAATAATTTATCTTAGTTTCTTCATCTGTAAAATAGGAATAATTAAATTTCTCACATAGGATTTTTGCACCAGTTAATAAGAAAAATGTATTTTAAATGCTTGGGACAATAAATATATAATAGTTGTTTTGTTTTATATTGTATACTTAAGTTTGACATAATACTAATATAGTTGTCAATATAACAGCCATTTACCAAAACAAGTATTTCAGAAAAACTCAATGGTAATAATGCTATACAGTTAAGTTCCTGATTTCTTTTTTTCATTTTGGAAATTAAAACATTTTGGGGAGGGGAAATGTCTGCTCTTTAGTATTTGTGATGGTAAAGAAAAATCTTTTAAAATGAAATTAAAAGTTTATTTCCTGCCGGACGTGGTGGTGCATGTCTTTAATGCCAGTACTTGGGAGGCAGAGGCAGGAGGATCCCTGTGAGTTTGAGACCAGCCTGGTCTACACAGCAAGTTCCAGGGAGACCCTGCCTCAAAAAGACCAAAAAAAATTTTATTTCTTATTTACAGTTTTGGATATATCTCATTCTTTTCCTCCCGCCACCACACCCAGCATGCTTTACTATTCTTTTACTGCATCCAGCTACCACCTTTAATAATGTTATAAAAATTCAAATCAACTAAGTTAGATGTGGTGGCACAGGCCTTTAACCTTTAGCCCCAGCACTCGGGAAGCAGAGGCAGGTAGATCTCTGTAAGTTCAAGGCCAGCCTGGTCACCATAGTGCGTTCTAGGCCAGCTGGGCCTACAGGGAGACCCTGTCCCCAAAAGACCCCTGGCCCCCAAAAAGAGAATTCAAATGAACTAGAATAGGAAATTCCAAGAATTGTAGCAGCTGATAATTCATATAATTTTCTCCTTATGTGTATGTATTTAAAAATTCATTTATTACACTATTATGCATTACCCTTTTGGATTTTTGAAAAACCACATTAAGCATCAAAGACTACCCTTAATTATAGCTTAATAAAAAATTTCAACTCAAATCAATGTACATAATAAAATTCTTAAAGATTCTTGAGTCAGGAATGGTGGCACATGCCTCTAATCTCAGCACTTGGGAGCAGGCAGATCTCTGTGCGTTGGAGGCTAGCCTTGTCTATGCGGCAAATTTCAGGCCAGCTGGGACTACATTGTGAGACCCTGTCTCAGCAAAACAAAACAAAAATATTCTTAAGGCTTCCATAGGAAAAAGAAGCAAAATTAGATTTCAGGAGGTCCTATCATTTCCAGATTTAACAAAATGAGATTCCTAAAAATACCAAATGACTAAAGCCAAGGAAGTTGTAGGGAAATACTTTATGACAATACATGCCAGGAAAAAATACTTAGAAGCATAATTTTACTTGACAAAATATTTAAAAATTTAAGCTTGATTACATTGAAATTCTTTGGTGGAGAATTTAGAAAGGGAGTGAGTGGCAAACTCACATTATAGGAACAAGGATAAATTTCACATTGTTGAAGCTTGGTAGTATAGTTTTGTCAGCAAACAATATTCAAAAATTATAGCAGATATATAGAATTTTGAATTTATATTTTAAGAACTAATATATTTTTAGTTTGAGAATTATATAAGTTTAGTTATTACAGTACTTTCTATTTCTTTTTTGTATAAACTTCCCAGACTGTGATTTTTCTCTCTAGAAGTTCAATTAGGGTATAGGTGAAGGCATACTGGGGCTGAAGAAGAGTAATAGAAAAATAATGGAAAACCTCTTGGTGCTTGGTAATAGGAAGAGGTCCAACATCAAAGCCTGGATACCCAGGACGTGTGGAGTGAGGACCACAGCTGGCCCTCAGGGGAGGTGTGAAATTGGTTCCAGAGAATCAGTCCTCCCAAGACCAGAACCTACAAGTAACAAAGACCTCCCCTGTCCCCAGCAAAAGAGGCAAAGCCTCTGCCATGTGCAACCTGGAGTTGCAAGGGAGGGACTGTGAGGAATGTAGGGTTACTTCTTAAAGAAAACAATGCTAATAAATATTAAAAAAAAAAAAATCACTCTCACTAGCCAATCAGGTTCCTCTTCCTCTATGATCTCCCTGTAGCACCTGACCTCCCTGGCATGCACCTACCCAACTGTACCAGGGTATCCACTCATCCTCAGTGTGTTTTCTTAGCCTTTAATTCACTAATCCCCACTCAGCTTTAGTTATACAATAGTTTAAAATTCCCATTTTCCTTTATTGTAATCAGAATTGACCTCAAATTGTCTACCTCATTACAAAACCCCACCACAGTGGTCTCCACACTTAAGGCTCTTGAATAAAGTCTTCCTTACTGATAAAAAAAAAATAAGCTTATTAACTTAATTTTTAAATATCAGAAGTGCTGTGAGAAAGAAACAATTTAAAACAGAAAAGCCAGGCATGGTGGCTCACTCCGAGATGCTCCAACTTGGGCAGGTGAAGGAGAATTGCAATGAGTTTAAGGCCAGCCTGGGTTGCAGAGTAAGGTCCAGCTCAGCCTGGGCTATAAGGTCAGACACTATTTCAACCAAACGACATGAAATGAAACAAATCAAAAAAAGTAGAAAAAAGAAATCTAAATATCATATGAAAATGTTACAATCAAGGGGCTGGAGTGATGGCTCAGTGGTTAAGAACTTGCAGAATACCCAGGTTCAAATCCCAGCACCCACATGGTAGTTAACAACTGTCCGTAACTCCAGTCCCAGGGGATCTGACAGCCTCTTCTGACCTACGTGGGCATTGCACAACATGGGTGCACTTACCTACATGCAGGCAATACATGCATACACATAAAATAAAAAAAATTAAAATGTTACAATCAAAACCTGCCAATCAGCAGGGTATGGTGGTACACACCTTTAATCCCAGATTGGTTCCAGAGAATCAGTCCTCCCAAGGCAGAGGCAGGCAGATCTCTGTGAGTTCAAGGCCAGTCTGGTCTACATAGAGTTCTAGACCAGCTGGGGCTATGGGAGTTCCTGTCTCAAAAGAACCATTAGAAGAAAAAAAAAAAAAAAACAAACAACACGCCACTCATTTAAAAATTTAAGATCAGGCATGGTGGTACACACCTATTATCCCAGCGCCTGGGAGGCAGAGGCAGATGCTCTGTGAGTTAGAGGCCAGCCTGGTCTACATAGCGAGTTTCAGGCCAGTTGGGGCTACAGGGAGCTCCTGTCTCAAAAAATTCCCCAAAATAGGGGGCAGGAGAGATGGCCCAGTGGTTAAAAGCACTGACTGCTCTTGCAGAGGACCCAGGTTTGATTCCCAGCACCCATATGGCGGCTACGAACCATCCTTAACTCCAGTACCAGGGGAATCCGAAGCCCTCTTCTGACCTCCACGGCACTGCATGACACCAGTACATTCACATACGTGCAGGCAATACATTCATACACATAAAATAAAAATAAAATATTTTAAAAAATTCCCCAAAATAATTAAAAAAAAATACAGGTACTTTGAATTTCTCACGTCAGCCAACATTAGTATACAATTAAAATGAGTTAATCTTTCTGCAACTGAAAACACATACATTTCTTTAGCTTACTTACAATCTATTGCACTGACTTTATTTCTGAGAATTTATGTTCAACTATCCAATTTCTTATTTTCTAGAAAAAGAAATTAAACCATGAGGAAAACTGCCTTAGGGTACTGTTACTCATAAAGATTTCTCTATACAATGAAACACACAAATAAGAACATCCTACAATTGCTTCCTCCATCTCGTACAATGAATCTAAATTATCACCAAGAGCTACACAGGGGAATCTTACCTTTGTGGAGAGGAAAAAGGTTGCTTCTTCAAGGCCTGCATAAGGTTGGGCTTATATTCTGGATCAACACACCATAAGGAACCTTTCCCATTAACCTAGAAAAAAAAGTACACAAGAATCAAGAATCTCTCTCTCTCTCTCTCTCTCTCTCTCTCTCTCTCTCTCTCAGACACACACACACACACACACACACACACACACACACACATACACACACACACACACACCTGTCAGAATATTTTGATTGAGTATATCAGGGAAAACCTCCTTCCTAACAAGCACATGCAAAAGCTAAAGTGAGGGCTGGGGATGAAGCCAGTGATGGCGCCTGCCTAGCATCTGTGGCAATATCCACACTTTCTTTCCACCCTAAAAAAGTTAAAGTGAGCCGGCTATGCATGACTGACTATAGTCATCATGTAATACACAAAACTTGGTCTAACTCACAAGACTAGAAAGGTTCAGGGGCCGAGAGATGGCCTAGCAGTTAAGAGCACTGCCTGCTCTTGCAGGACCCAGGTTCTGTTCCCAGCACCTGCACGACTAACAACTGCCAGTAACTCCTGTTCTGGGGGATCTGACGCCCTCTTCTGGTATGCATGGGCATTGCATGGCACAGGTGTGTAACATATGTATGGAAAAAAAATATACATGTAAAATAAAAACAAAGCAATTTTTTTAAAGACTAGAGAGATTCATGTTCACTAATATCCAGGCTTATATAACGCTTTAAAATTTTTATTAGGTATTTATTTATTTAGAAGTCGCACAAGTCATATGCATATCTGGAAGAGGACAACTTGCAACAGCTGGTTCTTTCCTTCTACTGTGTGTGTCCAGGGAATCAAACTCATGTCCTCAGGCTTGACAGCAAGTTACTTTTACCCTCTGAACCATTTCACTGACCCTATACTACTTTTTATATTGCAAACACCTATACTATAATTCTTTAAAAAAACATTTAAATGTGCTTTTTTCCTTTTTCCCTACTCCTTCTACCTTGTATAAAATCCTACATGATGCAAGATTTAATGTGATTACCTGCACAGTTCTACTTCCTCTTTGTCAAGGTAATATTAGTCTATTATTGAGACTCTTTTATTTTTGAATAGTCTCATATTCTTAAAACAGAATGGCATGATGAAAAAACATTGCTCCACAAATTTAAAAAGATCCTGGGGCTGAAGAGATGGCTTAGTGTTTAAGTTAAGAGCACATATTGCTCTTGCAGAGGATGGGAGCTGGGTTCCCAGACCCCCACATCAGGTGGTGTAATTCCAGCACCAAGAGACCAACACCCTTTCCTGACCTCCACAGCCACCTGCACTTGGGTGCACATACCCCCACACACATACATGTAATTCATAAATCTTAAAAAACAAAAAACAAACTGAGATCCTCATCACTACTTACTGACTGGTTATGTGATATTAGACAAAGCATTTAATCTCTAAGAGTCAGACCTCTCATTCACATTTTACCCACAAAATAAAACACAGATCTAAGATTATGTTGGTGAGTTGTACTGAGATTCAAATAAAGCAATTTATACGCAAGTGACACAGCTGAAAATAAGCAAATATTAACTGGTTATTTTGAAATTGGCATATAGTTTGAGTGTTAAATAGCAGAGAGAGAGAGAGAGAGAGAGAGAGAGAGAGAGAGAGAGAGAGAGAGAGACACACTCTCTCTAGAGAGACTCTCTATATAGCCCTGCGTAGCTGGAACTCGATATGTAGCACAGGCGCGCCACAAACACAGAGCCCTCTCTACCTCTCACTAGAGGGACTCACTATATAGCCCTGCTTAGCTGGAACTTGCTATGTAGACCAGGCTGGCCTCAAACTCAGAGACCTGCCTACCTCCATCTCCTGAGTGCTGAGATTAAAAGGCACGTGTCACACAATGCTGGGCTAAAGGATAAAATAAATTTAGAAAGTGGATAAAACACCTTGTCTGGGGAAAGGTATACTAATTGAGCACAGAGCAGTTTTAAACATCCGAGAAACTGAAATAAATAGGAAAAGAAGTGTACAGGATTATCAGGTGAAACCTCTTTGGAATTCAGTGGCAAGATGTCACAGAAACTATAATAAGCATCAGGGCTAGGAATGGTGGCACACACCTGTAACCCAAGCACTTGGGAGTCAGAGACAGGAGGATAGTCTCAAGTCTACCTGGTCTACATAGTGAGTTCAAGGTCAAACAGTGCTACATACTAAGTTCCTGTCTCAAAAAACTAACAAAATAAACAACACAAACAAATCCAAACATCTGATAATTTTTCCAAGGGATGTATTTAAACATTTTTTATTTACTTTTTATTTTATGTGTATGAATGTTTTGTCTGCATATATGCAAGTGCACCACATGTGTGCAATGCCAATGGAGGCCAGAAAAGGATGTCAGATTCCCTGGAACTGGAGTTACAGATGATTGTTAGCCACCATGTGAGTGCTGGAAACTGAAGTCAGGTCTTCTTCAAGAGCAGCTGGTACTCTTAACCACCAAGCCATCTCTCCAGCCCCAAGAAATGTATTTTTAGACTAAGTGATAAAAATTGACTTAGATGTTTGTTCAGTCACTTAGACCAAATGATAAATATGTTTTGATGACTGAGAAATAAACTTTAAAATGTTAACACCTACATCTTTTGTGCAAAAGACAATTAGGTTTCATACAAGTTATTTTTCATACATTGACCAAGATAATTATGTCAAGAATTCTACCTATGTTCTACCTTGGTATTCAGGGATTACACTCCTACAAACTGGTTCAGGTCTTGTTTTCAAATTCTATAAGATGACTGCAAACTGCTTTGACCACAGCAGAATAGTGAATTTCCTTCAAACAGCAAACTGCAAAAACTGATATTGAGAACTTGCAGTTTCAGGGAATTTAAGTATCCTGAGTAGTTTCAAATAACAGTCTGGTTTATGTTACCATGGCAGCATTTCCTTTCACTGAGTGTGTTTAGCCATCAGTAAAGAGATAAAACCATGTATTTGCTAATCTATGTTTTAGAGTTTTCAAAAAGAATTTTTTTCCAATTCTCATTTTAAAATTTGCTTAAATGATGGAATGCAAACGATAATGTTTTAGAAATGTTAAAACCAAATTTGTTTATAAGAAATAAATCTTTTGTGCAATGAAAAACAGGAAATATGCATTCTCTCATTTACTATTATGAATTTTAAAGCTCTAAGATCAGACTTGTTTGCCTGCCTTATTAATTGGTTCAACTATCTGTAGAATCACCAAATTACAAAAAATTAACTAAAAATTGTTCCAAACTAGGCAAAATTTTAATTCTATATTTCTGGACTAAAATCTTAGTCACACTGTTTTACTTATACTTAATAAAAATTCTTGAAAAACAGACTTGAGACTCAGATGCTGAGTTGGGGACTATAACTCAGTAAAGCACTTACTTGCTAGGCATATGCAAAGGCCTCGAGTTTAATTCCCAGTCCTGGGGTGGTGGTGGTGGGGATGGGGGGAGGACATGGACATGACAATTTGGATTTTTAGATGTTTTTTGTTAAGTGACATGGATCACGAAAAGGGAAAGGGAAACCCCACACCTTGCTTTCTTAGGTGGGGGAAGGGATTACCATCTATCTCTAGGTAACATTTAATCATCAAGAGTTGTCAAGTGTATCAAATTCAATTCCAACATTTAATGGAAGTATATCTGACTTGTTTTCCACAGATGCAAAGGAAAACACAGTCATTCTGACGCATTGACTTAAAAACTTCATTTTATCTAAATGCAATATCCATACTAAATCTCAAATATTGAAGCTAAGTGGTCTATTGGTTTTCGGTTTTCAGCACACAACCATTTAGTAGCTTCTTCCTCCTCTTGTGATAGCTTGCCAATTTTGCTCTAGTGTATTACAATTTCTTTATTTTTCATTAAGATGATTTTTTTCTCAAACACTACTGAGAATCTAGGCAATATAATTGCTGTTGTCTAGTTCTTGCTTTCTTTCTCTGGACATTTAAATTGCTGAGATTAGCAGATATGGTAGCACAGGCCTGACCAGCATTTAGGAGGCAGAGACAGGAGAATCAAGAGTTCAAGGTGAGTCTGAGGCCTACTACACTACATGAGACCCTGTCCAAAATAAAATAAAAAAAACAAAACTTAAAAATTATAGACAAGACCAGGCTCTTTTGAGTACTATCATGAATCATGCCAAAGTAGGACATAGGGCTCTACAACATTATTCTTTTATTTTGTTTTTGCGACAGGGTCTCACTATGTAGCACTGGCTGGTCTAGAACTCATTATGTAGACCAGGCTAGCCTTGACCACAGAGAGAGCTACCTGTCTCTATCTCCCAAGTGGTAGGTTTAAAGGCTTGTGCCCCTACATTACAACACTATTTTTATTCTTATCTTTTTGTATACAAGTATGAATGTTACTCTCAGAGAGAAGTCAGGATCTGATCTGCTAGGTTGAATACATTGTAATTCCAGTAACCACTACCAGGGTGCTTTCAAGAATGGTCACACTGGGGTTAGAGAGATGGCTCAGTGGTTAAAAGTACTGGCTGTTCTTGCAGAAAACGTGAGCTCAAATCCTAGCACCCACATGGCAGCTAACAACTGTCCATAACTCCAGATCCAGGGGATCTGAGGCCCTCTTTTGCCTTCCACAGGCACTGCACGACATGGATATACTTACACACGTGCAAGCAATACACTCAATACACATAAAGTTAAAATAAGTTAAAAAAAAAAAGTGGAAACAAAAAAGAATGGTCATACTGATGTGATGAAATCTTGTGGGAACACTCATATTCCAAAAAACTGGAAAAACCTAAAAGAAATGGATAAATTCCTAGACACATATGATCTGCCTAAAACTAAACAGGAGGACATAAACAACTTAAACCAATCCTTAACAGCAATGAATTTGAAATAGTAATGTCTGCCAACAAAGGAAGGCTCAAGGCCAGTGGATTCACTGCTGAATTCTATTACTTTTTTTGGAGACAGCATTATGTTCCCCCTGGCTGGCCTTGAACTCAGAGATCTGCCTGTCTCTGCCTCCTAAGTGCTAGGATTAGTGGTGTTTACCACCATG